CCAGACAACAAAATGATGGCAACTGTTGAACACGACAACTTGTATCCAGTATGCCAACAGTATTGCGCGTCCAAACCAAAACGTAGTTGGGACAAGATGGGGCGACGGTTTATTGTCTGAGGAAACCTCGGATCTAATAAAACGGCAGAGCATAGCATCGTCCATGTGACCCTACGAAGCAATGGATTTGATGAAGGTTCAGTAGGCTTGTTACATGTGGCAACGGTCCAAAGGTCTGCCAGTTATCGAGTTCACAGGCATACAGATGGACTACATCACCGACTCCCCTATAAAGCCTGCATCGCTTTACTCTGCCTCTTAATAAATAATTACTAACAAAAAAGCAATTTAAACGAAAATATGTGAAGTAATATGGTAGATAAATGTTGACAACAACGTCCACACCCAGCGACAGCCACGCAAGTAACATACAACAACATCTTTTCATTTTTTGTCGCACAACATGTGCGTAGGTTGCCGAGTATCCATCAACTTGTTGCGGGCGATTGTTGTCTGGTCTGTACTTACCTTTACTAGTGCATAGGCAACTCATCTTACACATCGACCGTATTTTACTTTTCAATATGAATTGCATCGTTCTGGAGACCGTTGGTGGATTGCATTGCATATAAGTTGAACAATAAATAAATAAAAATGTTGTTTTTGTACCAGTACTGAAGTTACTGTTGGTTAAAATAAAGCCTAGCAATTACTGATTTTATACTTTTGTTAGTCCATTGTGGCTATTTTTACTATTGTTTATCGGTATAATGACCAATAACAATTTTATAATTTTAATTTTACATTAATTAATTGTTTCCAGAATAATTTGGAACGGGCACACTAAACGTGCTCATTAATATTTTTTCAAACACGATTATTACCGAGGTCAAACGCAATTCCTAAGTTTGATTATAACGTTGAGTGAAAATTCAATGATTATAATCAATTAAAGGAACTAAAAATACAAATACGAATCGTGCGCATGTCTAACTTACTTAGCAGCAGGTGATTTACACGCTTGCTTTTTTTACTAATTGTTAATCTTCCTGTTTTAAACATTAAAACATTGCAAGAAATTAATAATGGGGTGGGGATTTTATACATGCGGCCCCAACGAAGCTCTCGTTGTTTCAGGTAAGCAAAAATAAAAAATAGTTAAAGAAAATTAACGTTATAACAGAACTGGGCGTAAAAGTATGCGCACGCAGCGATAACTGGCGCGAAAATTATAAATTTTAAATTGCAGGTTGCTGCTACAGAAGGCCTCATGTGGTACCTGGCGGTCGCGTTTGGGTCTGGCCGTGTGTTCAGTTAGTTCAGAAGTACGTACACAATCGCCTTTTTCCTACAATAATTTTATAATTTCCAGAATATCCCTGAATACAATGACGCTACAAATCGATAGTCCAAAGGTGTATACGAGCCAAGGGGTGCCCATTTCAGTCTCGGGCGTCGCTCAAGTATGTATCAACACTGTACGGTGAAGTACTTACATATTTCAAAATAGGTCAAAATCCAGGGGCAAAATAAGGACATGCTCCTAGCCGCATGTGAGCAATTTTTGGGGAAAAAGGAGTCGGAGGTGCAACATATTGCTTTGGCTACGCTCGAAGGCTATCAAAGGGCTATTATGGGCTCGATGACCGTGGAAGAAATTTATAAAGACAGAAAGAAGTTCAGTAGACAGGTTTTTGAAGTTGCCTCTTCAGACTTGGTTAATATGGGTATTACAGTTGTTTCGTACACACTTAAGGATATCAGTGATGATACGGTGAGTGCCCCTTTCAGTACGAGCTGAAGTAAATAAAACAATCAAAACGCGCCCATCACATTATATAATTTTTCAATGAGATCAAGGCCCCGAGTTCTTGATTAATCTTAGAAAGAGTTCTGATAATTAGGTTGTCATAAAAAATCAATTTTGACAATATGGGCGGCCTACGCCAACGCAGCATCAAAAGTAAACTTTTTTACTCGCCTAAAAATATTAATATAATTCTAAAATTTCTGATCAGTCACTAAAATAGTTCCGCGAAAAATCAATACAATAGACTTCGTCAAAAGTTCCGTCCAGATCTCCAAAATGCCACCAAAAACGTTCTCAACTATTTCTTATAGAAACGCGTGAAATATAATCATAACCGTTTTCTGTCTGCCCGTCTGTACCACTACTAGTGCTCCGGACTTGATAGGTGGATTGCATTCTTTTAACCTGAAGCATCATCATCCAACAAAAATTAAGGTGCTATACCTATGTTACTCCAATCAGAATTCAAACTATGTATATTTGGCATTTGGAATATTCTCCAAACTTTCTAACTGTAAGGTTTACCACAAGATTCGATTACGGAAACTCTCTAGAACGAGCAGAACTCGAATCCCATACCGTTTTCGAAAAAACCTTGTTGAAGTATTTTTCGAATCTTGAGGTACTATTTGGAACCCAAAAAGTCCATCTTGCCGACATCATTTTATGCCTTAATTGTATTTTGCTATCACTTTCTCAAAAAACATACATTCGTTTTCAAAGAATCTATTATAGTTGCTCACTTTTTATAGGGGTATTTACTCAGTTTGGGCATGGCTCGAACTGCTGAAGTAAAACGCGACGCCAGAATTGGCGAGGCGGAGGCACGCGCCGAGGCCACCATCAAAGAAGCGCTCGCCGAAGAACAGCGCATGGCTTCCGTATTGCATAACGACACGCTTATCGCAAAGGCCAAGCGCGATTACGAACTGAAAAAAGCCGCGTACGATTTGGAGGTGCACACCCAACGAGCGACAGCCGAGTTGGCCTACGACCTACAGGCCGCCAAGACAAAGCAGCGCATTCGTGAGGAAGAAATGCAGATCAAAGTTGTGGAGCGCACGCAGCAAATTGCCATACAAGAGCAGGAAACTTCCAGACGTCTTCAAGAGCTGGAGTCGACCATCAGACGTCCGGCGGAAGCCGAAAAATATCGTCTGGAAAAAATTGCGGAGGCCAATTGTAAGCGCGTGGTTTTAGAGGCGGAGGCGGAAGCTGAGGCGCTACGGTTGAAGGGGGAGGCGGAGGCGTTCGCCATCGAAGCTAAAGCTAAGGCCGAGGCAGAGCAAATGGCTAAGAAGGCCGAAGCCTGGAAGGAGTACAAACGAGCCGCAATGGTGGATATGTTTATGGATATTTTACCGCAAGTCGTTGCCGAAGTGTCTGCTCCTCTTTCTCAAGCAAATAAGATCACTATGGTATCTACTGGGCAGGGAGAAATAGGTGCCGCCAAGTTAACCAGTGAGGTGTTAACCATGGTCGCAGGAATTCCACAAGTAGTGAAGGCTATGACCGGAGTTGATTTAGTACAAGTAAGTCTATGTTTGTTAGTTCATTGCAAATTTAATCTTTTTTTTTAGAATTTGCAATCAATCCGCTCTGTTTAAGATGTTTCTGCCTTTCATTTTTCCTATGGACTATGGTGTTAGATACGTACCTACAGTATGCTCCTTTTAGTATGTTGTTTAGAATGTGTTCATTGTATTTTAGATCTTATTCTTCTCAAATAATGGGTACTCATATTTCTACATTTTTACGCAAAAGATTGTAATCATTTTGGTAATTGTTCATTTATGTTAACGTTTTAAAATATATTTTTTGCAATTAATTTGTTAATTTTAAGCCTAACCACATTTGGGTAGGCAACACATTATGCAATTCTCCTATAATTTCTTTTTAGAAAAGCAGATTTTTTTAAAATGGAGATCACAGGTATATTCTTTACGTGTGTCTGTTGGAAAACCAAGGAGTGGGGAGGAAACAGAAATGCAGGAAGAAAGGGCACTGAAAATGTGAAAGAGTTGTAACGGTCCCAATTTCATGCAAAAATCCATCCATCATAGTCCAAAAATACGTTCACTTCTAAATTCTTCCTTATTCGCGAAACTTTTTACCCCCATTGGCCCTTAGATCTTGTGGTACTGACTCTCTAACAGCTGGAGAAGTTAGATAACCACATCTTATTCTTCTCAAATAATATGGGTATTCATATTTCTACAAGTAAAACCGCCACATCCACGAACTTACCCAATTTGTTTTCGAAGCAGTGGTTAATGATAACTCCAACATAACAAGGGGCGGCGCACTACGATAGCAATACATCACACGATTTTACTTTGTTTTCCATCCCAACTTGTGGGTAATCCAGATTTGACCTCTTTAGGAGCTGAAATAGCAAGTGCTCTTGTTTTGGCATGTCCTTGAACTTTCTTCGCAATCTCTAATTTGTTGGAAACGGAGTCTTCCACATAGTTCTCTGCTACTGCAGAAGATTCCCAACCACCGTGACGTTTGAGGGTCGTAGCATTTGCCAAAAGTGTTGCCGAGGCCTTCTCCACCTTTTTGAATTATCTAGCTTCTTGTGGATGTTCAATGCGGTCCTGAGCATTGGATACTTGCTCCACATCGAAGATGTAGCGTAGTCCTTTTGTTCCAAATGTAGAAAATATGCTAATGAAACTTTCTCCACGATTTTCCAAAGGAACTATTTTTCAAATTCGGCATGCTCCTTCCCGTACGCACTCTTGGACTTCAAAGGCAGCGAGCGCATACCTACTAACTTTTTTGGCTGCTTTACCTTCAAGAAGTAAATCCATTCGTACGAATTTTGTTGCCAACATTTTCGAGGTATCTACTCAAATAAATAATCACAACTTCATAAAAGCTCGTTCTAAGCGCCGTTGATTTATTTCATGCAGGTAATACAGGTCACGACCCATTTCGGAAAACATGTTTACCTTGCTCATTGAAAGGTTTTGGAGAAAATCTTGTATTTGGTACTCGTGTGTCATTGGTCCACTTTTCTCGTGTGGATAAAGATAACCTTGATAAATAAATAGCTATCACTGGCATAGTGAATTTGGCTAACATATTAAAGGTGCATATATAGGCTTATGTCTCCAATAGCACATTTTAATTATCCCTATTCCTTGATAACGAATTTAGGCGATTGGACGACGGAAACAATTAAGCACCACAATCTAACAAGGACGTAAAACATCGAAATGAGAACGAAAACTTTGTTTGAAAATTGCCTTCTTTCTGACCGTTTCGATGGGTTTCGGATTTTTTACTTGTGGACCAAGTGAAGCTTTGGTCATTTCTGGTGAGGTCCATCGTATGATACCATATATAACAATTTGATAATTTTAGGATGTTGCTACTCCCGACCTCGTTTGGTGCCAGGAGGCCGAGTATTCGTTTGGCCTGGAATTCAAAGGATTCAAAGGTGAGTAATCTCAATTTGTTTAATTTATTCACTAGTTTCTGCAGAATATCACTGAAAACTATGACACTTCAAATTGACTCTCCCAAGGTTTACACAATACAGGGCGTTCCCATTTCTGTATCCGGTGTGGCACAGGTGCGGTATTCGTCACGCTTTGGATGTAAAAAATAACAGCTTTCAGGTGAGAATCCAAAGCCAAAATAAGGAAATGCTTTTGACGGCGTGCGAGCAATTCTTGGGGAGAACTGAGGCCGAGATACAGACTATTGCCTTAGCGACCTTGGAAGGTTACCAAAGGGCGATAATGGGGTCCATGACCGTTGATGAAATTTACAAAGATAGAAAAAAGTTTAGTGAACAAGTCTTCAAAGTTGCCTCCTCAGATTTGGTTAACATGGGCATTACTGTTGTTTCCTACACTTTGAATGACATCAGTGATGATATGGTGGGTTTAGATGAGGCACACAAATACTATAATAATATTCAGAATATCTGTTGCAGGGATACCTGGCATGCTTGGGCATGGCGCGTACGGCTGAAGTAAAACGTGACGCAAGAACTGGCGAGGCAGAAGCTCGAGCTGATGCTCGTATAAGACAAGCGATCGCCGAAGAACAGCGTATGGCATCCGTTTTGTTCAATGAGACGCAAGTAGCCAAAGCACGTCGTGACTTTGAACTGAAAAAAGCATCTTACGATGTTGAAATAGAGACACAGAGAGCGACCGCTGAATTAGCCTACGACTTGCAAGCGGCGAAAACTAAACAGCGCATTCAAGAGGAACAAATGCAGGTTAAGGTCATCGAACGTTCACAGGCGATCGCCTTACAAAAGCAAGAAGTGCAGAGGCGCCTGCAAGAACTTGACGCGACTGTTAGCCGTCCGGCGGAAGCCGAGAAATATCGATTGGAGACGATTGCTGAGGCAAATCGAAAAAGAGTGGTGCTCGAGGCGGAAGCAGAAGCCGAGGCTTTGCGCCTAAGGGGCGAGGCGAAGGCTTTCTCCATTGAGGCTAAGGCTAAAGCGGAGGCCGAGCAGATGGCGAAAAAGGCAGACGCGTGGAAGGAGTATAAACGTGCCGCAATGGTCGATATGTTTATGGATGTTCTGCCGCACGTTGTGGCGGAGATTTCAACGCCTCTTGCTCAAGCTAAAAAGATCACTATGGTGTCGAATGGGCAAGGAGAGATTGGTGCTGCAAAATTAACAGGGGAGGTTTTATCAATGGTTGCCGAAATTCCTGAGGTAGTGAAGGCCATGACTGGGGTTGATATTGCTCAGGTTTGTGTTTTTCCAAAATTGTAGATTAATAATGATATTTGTCTTGCAGTCCATTCGCACGGTTTAGGATCTATCACGCTGAAGATATGTCATTATTAGGGCGCAGTTCTTCTATGCGATTTGGAATGCCTATCTTGTGTGCCACAGTGCCCCACGGCCATTGAATAAAAAACCCACGGTCCAGTCTTGTTTTTAACTTATTTATGTCGAGAAGGTGCCCTCGTTCTTCAGTACAATTCACATTAGCTTTTTCTTTCAAAGTTTTGAAAAAAGCATAGGTATCTAGACTTTAACTCCCTCCTTACTTAAAAAAAGTTTGTGGAGCACTATTTTGTTAATTGTATTGCACGCAAATGTTTAATTCTCAATTTGGGCTTCTTTAATAAAATATGATAAATAAAAACGTTTCTTCCAAATAAACAAAAGTCCACCGTGTTTCGTTTGTGAGCTCCAAAATTGTTTTTTAGCACATTTCCACAAAAATAAAAAAAAATGCGCTATTGTGATGTTTCAATTATTTTTGTTGCTTCCGAAAGCTTTTGTCATTTAGAAGACGAAGGCTAATCAATATTTTAAAATTTCAATCCCGTTAAGTAATTATTAGATGTTATTGGTTTCCTAGGTTACCTAATTTAAAACGAGCATTAAAGCTGCAAAAACATGCAGGTTTACGCCGCTATCAGTTTTATAAATGACAATTTGCGTGATGTGAGAAATTCCAAGAGACAAATGGAGTTAATTAGAAGTATGAATTTAATGAATTTAGAAATTTCATCTCACACATTTAAGTGAGTATAATTAACAGTAGCTAAGTAAATGAGTTGCCGTAAACAGCATCCAATTAAGTCGTAAGTGGTTTCATTAGAAGCACATTAAATTAATTAAGATTTTGGAATATGTCCCCGATTTTTATGATGATCAGAAGTGGAGAAATTAATTATTTTAATTTTTGGGCATACCGGATTTTTAAGACTCACTAGAGTTTTCAAGGCGTCGTTCAATTTCATGCCCATAAGGGCGCCTGCATATACTGAGAAGTAGCGACGCAGTCAACAGTTGGCAAAGATGTTTTGGAAGTGCCGGGTGACGGAATGCCTTCCAAAACTTGTAAAATAACGTGAGAAGTGGAATGATCATTTCGATCCCATGACATTGGTGGCGCTTGTTCTTATTTTGGACGAAAACACACCGATGGCGTGGCATCGTTTCGAATGTCTTTCCCCTCAAGTTAGTACGGTAGCGGGTAGAGATCCAAAGATCCAGAATTCTGTTAAAAAATTCTTGCTTCATGTTATAGACTAGACCAGAGGTCTCTAAACTGTTTAACCTTAGGGCCACATTAATCATTCGTCAAACTTATCATATTTTCAGCTGTATTCTCAAGTTACCTGCAATCATTTCTACCTACAGACCTCGTTAGCAGTCAAATGATGCGAAGTGATATTGAAATAGTATTGCTAGTGCCATCTGTTGTTTGCATCTGTATAAACTATTGATTATTTTTGTATTCCTCCAACCCGGCCCAATTGAAAAAAGTAAGTAGAACTTTCAAGTACAGCGGTCCGGATCGGTAATGCCAATTTTGGTCCGCGGACCGTAGTTTAAAGACCCCTGGACTAGAAAAACAACCTCCATTACTCATAAATGTGTAAAATTTTCGCATGTTGTTATTTTCAAAAATATTTGTTCCTCGTTTTGTCGAGATGAATAATTTCCGTCTTTGTAATGTTACATCGTTTGCACATTTGTGTGTACCTATGTCCCACCGTGCCATAAATTACGAAGATGAATTTTGTACGTACCTACCCCGTTTAATTATGTAAATAATGTCTAATTAATCATCGTTGTCCTTCGGACGAGTTAATGACATTGCGCGAAACGTCTTTATTCGCCCAAGTAAAGACAGTGCATGAAGCATGAAATAATGGTGCAATGACTTTACCGTGTAAATGGTTCAAAGGAAACGCGAGTACACCAAAATTGCAATAAAATGTCTTATGAAATGCATTTTCTAAAAACATTTGTAGCTTGTAGTGCAGAGACGACAAGAACTTGCTTTGATGGCCTTAAGAAGATTATTATAATTACTTATAGCTCTTTCATGTTTCAAATTTTAATATCATAATAATCTGTCAAATTTCTTACAATGTTCTTATGTTCAGATAATAAAATAACATTTGTGCAGCTTTTATGAGTAATTATAATAAAATTATATATATATACACACTATACCTACAAATTCTTTGGACATTTTCACCTGTAACATTGAATATATCTTCAAAACAACATTTTTTAAGGTAGATCTTCGTGGTATCCAAAAGCATAAAAAACTAGCAGTCTCGGTGAACTTCGTATCGCTTTTGGGACTTTTTCCTGTCCCTGCACTCCGTTACTGATAAAATCTCGTTCCCGGCAATTCTCGTTCCTGTACCCCGTTCGCGGTAAAATCCCATTTTTCCGGTTCCAGATGGAATTTCTACACCAAAATTTCTCGGGAAAACACTTTTTCTTATTAATTTGGGTGTGTAGAATCCAAATCAATTCGTACTTTTTCGATCAGACTTCTCAATCAAAAGTTATAGACTAGAAACCAATTTCGAAAAAAAATTCAAAGGGCTCTAACTTTTGAACTAGTAGCCCAATCTTGGAACTGTTTGATATTATGGATTCTACAGGCCACATTCTATAAGAAAATTTTTTTTCCGGGTCGATCTGAGACAATTTTTTTGTCGGGGCTCAAAAAAAGCAGTGTATAACCTTCCTTTTTTACCAATAATCGACTACACCAAAATTTCTCTGGAAAACACTTTTCCTTATTAATTTGGGTGCGTAGAATCCAAATCAATTCGTACTTTTTCGATCAGATTTCTCAATCAAAAGTTATAGACTAGAAACCAATTTCGAAAAAAATTCAAAGGGCTGTAACTTTTGAACTAGTAGCCCAATCTTGGAACTGTTTGAAATTATTTACCTCCCCACCGCCCCCGGTAACCATTGGAGAAATATAGTCAAGTCTTCGTATGCTGGGGGGTATTCCATACCCCCCAGATCCCCCGGTAACAATTTCTTACACAAAACGTGTAACCTTCCCCATTCTCATGACAATTTTTGGAGGAAGAATGATCAGATTCTCTTCTTCTAAGACGTACCTGAGACATTGTGGCACCGGGGGGTCTGGGGGGTATGGAATACCCCCCAGCCAAGAGGTAGGGTGAAGAAACAGGGACTCGATGATTCTATCTTTACTTCCTTTTCCGCCCCCCGGTAACCATTGGAGAAATATAGTCAAGTCCTCGTATACTGGGGGGTATTCCATACCCCCCAGACCCCCCGGTATCAATTTCTTAGACATAACGTGCAACCTTCCCCACTCTCATCACAGTTTTTGGGAAAGAATGATCAGATTCTGTTCTTCTTAAGAAGTACCTCAGACATTGTAGCACCGGGGAGTCTTGGGGGGGGGGGGTACATGACCTGTTCAGTATCATGTTATCCTGACACGAAATTTTTTTTGAAACTGTATTTATTAGGTCATGCCTTTCTGATACAAGTAAGCTGTTGTAGCGATACAACATAGTACCGTAGCCATTTAAATAGTTGTATCAGGAGCGCATAAAAGCAAGCAAATGCAACAAAAAGTCACAGATTCAGTGATTCCTCTCTTGACTTACTGAAGCGAATATCGGGATAACAAAATCTCAATAAATATAAATCTTTTATTTCAAATACTTTGTATCAGGATCACAGGAATTCAATAACGTACAAAGGGATAGAATTCGAAAGTAGGTATGCGATAAACTGAGTGATACCTCCTAACGTTCTCCTGATACAATCTTTTCTTGCAAAATTCTAATTTTTCCGGGTCGATCTGAGACAATTTTTTTTTCGGGGCTCAAAAAAGGCAGTGTATAACCTTCCTTTTTTATCAAAAATCGACTACACCAAAATTTCTCGGGAAAACACTTTTTCTATTAATTTGGGTGCGTAGAATCGAAATCAATTCGTACTTTTTCGACCCGACTTCTCAATCAAAAGTTATAGACTAGAAACCAATTTCGAAAAAAATTCAAAGGGCTGTAACTTTTGAACTAGTAGCCCAATCTTGGAACTGTTTGAAATTATGGATTCTATAGGCCACATTCTATAAGAAAATTTTTTTCCGGGTCGATCTGAGACAATTTTTTTTTCGGGGCTCAAAGAAGGCAGTGTATAACTTCCTTTTTTACCAAAAATCGACTACACCAAAATTTCTCGGGAAAACACTTTTTCTATTAATTTGGGTGCGTAGAATCGAAATCAATTCGTACTTTTTCGATCCGACTTCTCAATCAAAAGTTATAGACTAGAAACCAATTTCGAAAACAAATTCAAAGGGCTGTAACTTTTGAACTAGTAGTCCAATCTTGGAACTGTTTGAAATTATGGATTCTACAGGCCACATTCTATAAGAAAATTTTTTTCCCGGATCGATCTGAGACAATGGACGACCCCCCCCCCCAGAAAAGGGGGAGAAATGTACAATCGGGGGGGGGGGGGGATTCAATGTTCTCTTCTCTACGTCTATAAGAATCTTTCGAAGCTTGACTGAGGAGTATTCCAAATAAAAATAAAATACATAAACAAATTATATTAATAAAATTAAACACAGCAGCTTCGAATAACGTTCACTGCAAATGATTACAATTAATTTTAATTATACTCACTTGATCTGCCGGACGGAGGCTTCGGAAAATGGCCTTCTAATTTACACCCATTGAGCTTTCGGCGACTGTAAAAACAGTTTAATATTCCCACCGAAACAGTTGGAAAAATAGATGTATTCACTACAAAACTTACGTGCGTTATCGGCGGTAATTAAATAAACAATTAAACAAAAATGAAAACACAGAACTCACTCCCCGTCTCCTAGAGCAAATAAGTAACTTTCGAAAATACAATTTTTAGTTAGTAACGAAGGGGCCAGCTTAAAACGCTTCTAGATACCGGGTGATCAGCAATACTGGTGGACTTGATTTTTTAGGTTTTCCGGATTCTTTCTCTGCATTTTCTGAAGTTTTCAAAAAAATCTTCGTGCTCACCGCGAATTATTTAATTTCTTGAATTCTTCCACCTAATCAGTATGAGTCGCAGTGTTGCCACATTAAAAACATAGTTGCCAGATTGCATACTCATCACGTTCCATTTGTGTTCCAGTGGAGGAGTTAGCCATCAACTGTCGGCGACGCGTTTACTCTCTTCTCCAGATGGATCCCGTTACCGTCTGGACGAAATGGACCAAACGTGGCCGTGGGCCGACTCGTTCTCGAGCCTCCACCGGGATGCCTACACCGAGGTCCGAACGCCGAGACCTCCGATTTTTACGTTGGGATGCTTTCGGGCGTGTCGCGCGCGCGTCTATCACAGTCTGGCGAAGCGAAAGGTCGAGCAGGGCGTACGCCTGTACAACCAGCACAAGCAGCAGCAGGCGATCAAGAAGTGGAAGTCGGCGCTGAAGGCGATACGAAAGCGGGACGATAAATTCGAAGTGCTCGGATACCTTTATCAAGCCTACATGGACTGGGGGAAGTACAGGTTGGCAATCGGCCGATCGATTACCAAGTTTACCGCTTGCGCCTTTTCAGAGATGCCTTGGAATTTGCTCATAAACAATTATTTATATCAGAAGAACTTGACAATCCAAATATGCGAGCAGAATCATATTTAAACCTAGCTAGATCACATCAGAGATTAGGAGGCTTAGAACGGTGCGAGTTAGGACGTCCTAGTTGAAGGCAGTAAGGATGGCACCCTTTCCCCCACCCTTACTGTCTTAAGCTACACCGTTATGGTAATACGCATAACCTGAACTGTATGTTTTAGAGCTTTATCGTACGCCAGACACTCTTTATACAATGAATGTGAGCAGTGCATCACAGCCGGTCACGTTCATTTAACTGTAGGTTCCGTTTACATTGAGCTGGCTGGATTCAACAAAGCGCTCGATAGTTTTCAACACGCCCATCGGATAGCGCAGAACGTACACGATCGCGCTTTAGAACTACAGGTATATTTAGGACTATCGGAACTTTTTAGCCGTCTGCAGGACGCGGACAAGAGCGCAACGTACGCGGCGAAGGCCTACGATATGTCGAGATCGTTACAGCTCGGCGACATGAACTCGCGCGATCACAGGGCGGCGCTGCTGCAGATGGCGTCGGCGCTACGCAAGCAGGGAGAGCTCGGCGACGCGCAGGATTACTGTTCGGTAAGTGTCCGACGCGGAAGGTACGCTAATAACCGTTGCAGTAGGAGGCGACCCGGCTGGCGCTGATGTCCGGAGACCAGGCGACGTACGCGCGCAGTATTAGGATAATGGGCGACATCTACCGGAAGAAATTAGATATTAACGTAGGTAACTGGTTTTCGAGTCGGTTAAGTTAGTACACCCCCACTCTCTTCAAAAAGAAATAACGTAATTGTAAGCTTTTCTTAAACTCGCTTCTTCTTCCCTCAGCTCTCCGAATCTTTGGCAGAGCTATGAGAGTGTAAGAGCATGGAAGGGGGAATAGGGGGTTTTAGGGAGCGTTTCGTTACGCCATATATTTCCGGGAGCTTTCGGGGAATAAGAGGGCTAACTAAACCGACCCAACGATTTCAGTGTAACTCACCCACTCCACTTTTAGAAAGCCTTCCGACAGTACGAAACGGCGATGGGTTCGGCGGCTTCGATGGGCGACCGAGTCATACAAATGGAGTCGATGGACGGAGCGGCGCGTTGCCTGGAAGCGTTGCGTCTGCAGCACAAGATATGCAACTGTCGACCGTTGGAGTTCAACACCAGGCTGCTAGAGGTCGCCAGTTCGGTCGGCGCCAAACTTTTAGTTCGCGCCATCCGCATGCGCCTATCGGAGATCTACCACGCGCTCGGCGACGATGATCAGAAGCAACACCACGAGCGCATAGCGTTGCGAGTGCAAAAAGAACTCGACCTCACTTGCGGCGGTTGTGACTCGCCGTACGGACTCGAAAGTGATTCACTCGAAGCACTGCCTTGTACACACATATTGCACGCTAGGTTTCCACACTTCCTCACCCCTTACCACCACTAACCGCCTATTTTTCAGGTGTGCCTACGAATTATTTAGGAAAAATAAAAGGAATAAAAAGCGTACTTGTCCTGAGTGTGATAAATCAAGTTCACGTTTATATCTAAATTGTAACGATTATAACTCTTATAGTCCCGTACCGTTATCTGTATGTTCATCAGACAGTCACTGTACAACACATCACGTCACTAGCTCCGTATAGATAGAACAGGAATTCTGCACAAAAAACAAATTTAAAAAACAACAAATTGCGTTGATTTAATTTTTATAATGTAATTAACTGTGAACCAACTAATGTTAAGCGTTTAATGAATAGCTTTGGAAATAAAAAGCACTACGTTACTTTATTTTGTAGCCTCGTGAAACTAGATGAAACCTAAGAGAAAGATTGAGTATACGTGTAAGGCTCGTGGTTATGCAGCAGGCGTGCCATGGATCTGTAGTGTTCGGTTTATTAATGATTATGAAATTGGAAAACTTTCATTTTCTGATTTAAGAACAGCTACCCACCCTGTATATCGCAGCAGTAGCTCTAATAAACCAAAATAGTTCAATTACTACTAGTAGTTCATATGAACGACCGTCCGCCATGACCTAAACTGTTAAAAAATTTAATTTATTTATTCTGTAATTTGAGTGTCCCCCCCCTAAAAAATCGTGGTAATGTCCGAGAAAAGCATTATTGAAGTTAAAGTTGAACCGAAATATGAACCGGACTCGGAGGACTCACCATCGCCTCAGTACCACCTTGCATCCGATGAGGTCGTAAAAGAGGAGTGCAGCAGCTATGACTTTTATGAAAAGTTTACACCCAACGCGCTGGGGGTTCCAAACCAATTCAAGTGTCCCCATTGCAGTTATTCAACCGCGTACAAAATTGCACTGCTCAAGCATTTAATGAAGCACGGTTCTACTTTTAAATGTGACCTGTGCGATTTTGGCACCACGGATAAACGTCACATGAAGCGGCATCAGTTGTGCCATACGGGTAACCGATATAAATGTGACCAGTGCGATTATTCTAGCGTGTTTAGGTATAATATTAACCGGCACAGTGCGGTACATAACTCGTTCAGATGTGAACGGTGTCGTTTTACGACCACCTGCAAGTCGAGCCTGGCAGATCACTTGTCAGTGCACAATGCCTTAGCGGAGATTAAAACCGAAATCACCATGATGAAAAAGAGAAGGGGGCGGCCCAAATTAATTCGAAAAGAGAGGCGATGGATTAAATGTGAACATTGCGATTACAAAACAGCGTACCACTACAACATCAAACGACACTCTTCAATGCACAACTCCCCAACAACATTTATGTGTGAACATTGCACTTTTAGCACCAAGTTCAAGGGGGCCATGGCAAAACATGCAATGAGCCACAAAACGACCGCCGACTCGTTTTATAAGTGTAGTCAGTGCGATTTCACAACGACCAAGTACAGCTACATGAAGCGCCACAGGTTGATTCACAACGGGCGGAAATTCCAATGCGACCAGTGCCCTTACACCAGCCAACACAAATACAACATACGAAGACACATCGCGATGCACAACAAATCACACGTCCTGAAATGTGACCAGTGCGATTACACCACCTACTGGATTAGCTACTTGAAACAGCACACCCTCAGCCACAGCGATTTAAACCAATACAATTGCGTACAGTGCGAGTTCACGACCAAAAACAAAAAGGCGATGAAAACGCATCGGTTAACTCACAACAGCGCGTCGTTTAAATGTGACCAGTGCGACTACGCGACCAAACGTCGCGAGACCTTGTCAGCGCACGTAAAAGTACACGACATCATACGAACATTCACGTGCGACCAGTGCGACTACGCGACGCCGAACCGAAACTGCCTGCGCACCCACAAGCTGTCGCACACCGCCCGGATCTACAAGTGCGACCACTGCGACTACACGACGAAGTACATTTACAGCATCAAGCGGCACGCGTCAATTCACGACACGCTCGCGAAACTCAAGTGCGACCTTTGCAACTACACGACCCACTGGAAGGACTACCTGAAGCAGCACCAGTCGACGCACAACACGACCGTCGACTATGCGTGTCGCGTTTGCGATTTCACGACGAAGAGCAAGTACGCGTTGCGCTATCACAATTTCACGCACAAGGGCGTGATGTATCTGTGCGAGTTGTGCGGTTACAAGTCGAAGTTTAAGAACAGCTATAAGAAACATTGCGCGACCCGTCATCCGACGAGTGCCGGCGATACCGTGCACTTGGGCGTGTTATAAGTCTAACTTGCACAGTGCACCTCTAAGTTCAGTTAATTGTATTTATTGTTGTTGCAAATGAATGGGAAGCAAGTTTATGGCCCTTGCACAAGTTAACATTTTTATTGTTCTAGTCACCCTTCAAGCATTGAAAATAAATGGTATTCAGGGGATGCGCGGACTACCAACCAATCACTTTTCTCTCTCAGAAACGATTCCACGGCTATTAATAGAACCTAATAAATTGGAGTGAAGATCATTGTTTTTGGTGTGGTAGGTCCCACGCGTGTAGTGTGAAAGGTACAGGTGAAGATATAGTCGAATTTTCACTGGTTAGAAAAATTGTTTTATTAACAGCAATATACAATTTCGTATATAAACAATTTCTTTATGTACAATAAACATAAGAGATTCTCCAATTAAAACTTACATTAAATGCATCATCGAAATATACATAATTATAAAAATATATACAGGGAAGACAGTAACTTTTGGAAATAAATACCATTGTGCACAATAATAAATAAATTCGTTGTTCCTCTTACGCAAGAATCTCGCTGCAAGAGCCCAAGTATTAACGAATAATTACTTGATCATACGTACCTGGTCAGTTCCCGTCCGGCGATCAATCCCGTTCGCGATCGTGACCTCACCAGTTGCGCCCTCCGTTCGGCTAAAAAAACGTTAGCTAGTTAGCACAAAACGCACCGGATACCGTTGACGCAAAACTCTTACCGCAGATACTTTCCAAGCAGCATTCTTACGAAATTTGTTATTCGAAAATTTTAATTATGTTAGTCGTAACTTACCTCCGGCCGGTCGCGGTCCCCGTTTCCGCTTTTGCTCGCGACTGAACGCGCTGCCCGTCTGAAGCGCCTCGAGCAGACTGTCCATGACGCCCTCCTGCGTTTCGGACGGGTTCATGTCGATTATCGCCCGCTTTCTCGCCGCGCGCTCCTGCTTCTCCTTCTCGGCCTTTTCGCGCGCCAGCTTCGCCTTGCGGTTCTTCTCGTCGATCTCACGCTCGCGTTCGTTGTCCTTGTGAGCCAACTGAAAGGCGGGAAATTGCATTCTTCGATTTTTTGCCAGGATATACAAAACGATTTAATCTTTTATTCTTGAATCCCCCCCCCCCCAAACCCTTTTCACAAATTGTTTAGTTTTAGGATCCGCTTGACAGTCGTCGGGGAAGGATTATCGGATTATTTTCTTCGCACTGCAAAGAACGTGCCACCGGGGGGTGTGGAATACCCCCCCCTCCCGAGCAACGTTAGTCGATGACTATTTCCGGAAAATTATGTTAAAAGCGACGGGGGTTCAAAACCACCTCGCACAGACGGACTTAATAAACCTTTTCCATATAAACCTCAATCTACCATTTAATTGGAGGGGGAAGGGGGTTCAGACCCCTCGGTAACACCTTCCACAAACCGTTTAGGCTATAGGGCTCGCTTGAGAGTTGCCGGGGAGGGATTATCAGATCTTTTTCTCCGCACTGCAAAGGACGCACTACTGGGGGCTATGGAATCCCCCCCCCCCCCGCAACAACATAAGACTCGATTACCATTTCTGGAAAATGATGTTACAAGCGGCGGGAGTTCCAAACGACCCATCACCGAAAGACGTATTAAACCTTTTCCATACAAACCTCGGTCTACAGTTTACTTGGAGAAGGGGAGGGGGGTTCAAACCTCTCTGTAACGCCATCTTTCACAAACCGTTTAGGCTTTAGGGCTCGCTTGACCGTTTAGGCTTTAGGGCTCGCTTGAGAGTTGCCAGGGAAGGATTATCAGATCCTTTTCTCCGCATTGCATACGACGTACCACAAAATCCCCCGCCCCCGCCCCACGATTACCATTTCCGGAAAATTATGTTACAAGCGACGGGAGTTCCAAAACACCCAGCCCAGAAAGACGTAATAAACCTTTTCCATATAAACCTCAGTATACCGTTTACTTGGGAGGGGGAAGGGGGGTTCAAACCACCCGGTAACACCTTTCAGAAACAGTTTAGGTTTTAGGATTCACTTGAGACTTACAATAAAGCTGTCCTTGAACGTCTTCAAGTCGGTGAAGAACTCCTCAAGGACGTACTTCTGCTTATCGAAGACGTAGTACTCGGACAGATCCGTGTAGAGCGTCTCCATCTTCTTAGACATGTTTTGCATTACCAAGTACTGGTCGCGAGCTTCTTTTGCAAACGACTGCGGCACGGTTAAGGAAAGATCCGCTTGGTTTTTCTAAAAAAAATTGAGAACACCACACTGCCCAAAAAGGATACGTCCATCGTCTCAAAGAACTTGTCGTCGCCGCTTTGCGGTTGCTTATTATTAGCGAGATCAGTTTCAAGATTCTTAATACTGGAATCCATCTGTTTGAGAGTTTTTTGTATCACATCCAGCGATACGCGACTAGCTCTGCAAAAAGGACCGTTACACTAACCCCCACCAACAACGCACCCACTTATCGATATGAGGTAGTTCGTCGTAAAAATTGAGCAGCTCCGGAAACTTTCGCTCCACGGTCTCGACGATGTAATGGAGGAGCGTGGATTTGTTGTGTATGTCTTTCGTACCCGTCAGCTAAAATTGGACGCGATTACGCGGGTGTTGCTACGACCGAACGGTTTTACCTTGGTCAGGAAGCTTATTTCAAATCCGAAGGTCTGCGCGTTCTTCGAGCCGGTGTTCATGTAATTGCCGAGCAGTAAAATAAGTTCGAGCAATTTCGCGAACTTCTTGCTCTTCTTCACCTCGTCGCAGGCGGCGGTTCCGGCCACGATGTCCTGCAAGACGAACATTTTTGGCGCGGTTCGAGCTTAAACGACTCTTTTTTAGCGCAATTATCTCTCTCAAATTCGGTCTTGCGATAAGAAAATCGTTATCGCTCCGTAAGCTAATTAAATTGAAGATAAACAGGCGCAGTTGGTTCTCAACCGGCGAATCGCGAACGTGTCAGAGGGAGGGGTGCAATTTATTTAACAAAGAAACACCAAACAACTATTGTAATGTTTTTATTATGTATATTTAAAAAAAATTATAGGTCATGGTGGGGAGGGATCGGAAAAATACGCAACCCAAAAGAGAGTCGCAGTGTCTAAAAGGTTGAGAACCACTGTTTTACGGTAATTAGAATTTCGTTTCAATCGATCGCATGTGCGTGGTATATTGACCCTGAGTGCCTTTCTTCCTTACAGCATTAACTTTTTTTTTGTTAATGTGGCAATATTGATTGTTTTTTGACACTTACCTGCCCAAAACTGAATGGACCAACTTACCGGCTTACTGTCGCTGACCATTTCCGGAAAATGCTCTCGAAAACTGAGCGATTTTAGGCGAGGTAGTAAACGTTTAATTTCGGATAGCTTCACACAGAATTGCTCCGCCTCCGTCAACTGGTCGTAGGAGTCTTTGTACTGTTGCAGTTTCGCCAGTTGATCGGACGGCGGTAAGTACTGAAACGATTTTGGCCTTATGAGTCGTTTTATTGCGATGGGGGGAGGTACCTGTATGAGCTGTTCCAAGATGCTTTGCGTCAAGACTGTGTTGTCGCAGATCAGAATGCACTTTTTGATGTCGTCGTAGGGCATGTGTTTTAGAGATCCGCCGAGTAAGATGCTGATGTTTTGGGCCACCTTACCATCGAGCACTTTGAGTTCCTTGACCTTTTTGAGTGAACCCGTAGTATACGCCCTGAAAGTAGTTCCAATTGACCGATCAACCAAGACCTGCTTGTGTTACCTATCCACGACCTCGTCGTCCATTTTTTTGGGTGCTTTCGAGCTAAATTTCTGCGCCAAACCGTCCAAAATGTCGGGCGACGCTAATTTTTCCTCTTGGACCTTAACCCAAAACGACTTGTCCGACATTTTGTTGGGCAGAATCGCCTTCCAGTTTGCACGTTTCAGCGGTCCAGTCACCTCCCACTTCTTCTTCGGCTTGAGACCGTGCGGGAGCAGGTCGGGATTGGCGAGACCGGGCAGCGGAACCATTCCCATCGGAAGCGGCGGCGCGCCGAAGGGTGGAGGGGGTACGCCGAAGGGAGGCGGTGGTGGCGGCGGGCCGCCGCCGCCCATCGGCATCGGAGGAGGCGGCGGCCCAGTGCCGATCATCGGAGGGGGAGGGGGAATGCCGGCTCCGGGCATCGGAGGCGGAGGTGGGCCGATGGCACCGGGCATTGGAGGCGGAGGCGGGCCAACGTTCGAAGGCATGGGGGGCGGAGGAGGTCCTGTGTACACCTGGGCCACTTTATCTAAACGCGATTGGTCCAATTTGCCGTCGGACGTCGATACCGCCGATCGGCCCTCGACGATCGCCAGTTTCGCAAGTGCCTCCTCTTTCGCCGCGATCGCTTCCTCTAATTGCTTCTTCAGTTCGTCCTGCTTCGATTGCTTGTCTTTCTCAATTTCTGTGGTTTTATCTAACAACAACGCCCTGTTATTCGTGCGTAAATCATACAAATTTAGCAGCGAATGCCAACTCAGTATGTACAGGGTGTCCCATTGCCGAAAATAAATTTTCAAAAAATCAACATATGGGGTAATTTTTCTTTATAATGACCTAACCTAATTTTGATATGGACCAACCTGTATATTCAAGTGATTAAATCGGATTTAAAACGCACCCTGTATATGTTAATCTAAACCAAGATTCCCTGTAAGTGTCGAAAATGGAACACCCTGTACATTGAAACTTAAAAATGATTTTCAGGCGACAATCCCCCTTTAAGTAAAAGGTCTTGAAATAAAGGAAGCCCACCACAGCTGCTATGGTCAATTAATTGTTGACAACTACCATTCACGAGGAAGGTGCATTGCTCGACCCAAAAGGCATTCTACTACCCGTGCAAATCTCAAAGATCACGTTACCTATTAAGCCATCAATTAAAGGCTGCAGATCTAAATCGAAATGTCGTTTGCTAAAGTCCGGATCAAGGCCCGATTTGTGCAGGACAATTTGCGTCACGCACTCCTCGATGAACTTGTAGTACGCCGGCCTGCAAGTAGACCGTTTCGTTCCCGCAATTAACGTCGGCGAATACTACCTGATGTAGACATCGTCGCGAATAAAAAGTAGGTGCTGTAAAATGCTGAGAAAGTAAGGTTCGGCGGGCGTGTCCAACGTGACGTTCTTCAGAACCTCGAAGCAATCGTTAATGTCGTCGATTTCCATGCGCACGTTGTCGAATCTCGACTGCAGTTCGTCGGCGTCCTCGTCCTTGAGGCTTTCGAAAATGCTGAACTGCTTATTGACTAGCGCCGTCGACTGATTTTTTAAGGCATCTACAATTCCCAACGTTAGCTTAAATCGCCCGACGAGGTATTTACCTAATTTATCGTAAAGTCCGTTACGAACGATCTCGTTACGCAGGTGCATGCGAAATTCGAAATCGTCCGTCTGCGATAGCAGGGCGTTTATAAATTGCAGGCACATACTCTGAAAACCGACGCTGTACGAAAATGACCGACGCGAAAGACTCACCCAAAGCTCGTCGTTCGACGTTCGCGTAATTCCCTCGATGATCGGCGCGAAACGTTCGCGTTTCTTCGCCTCGCCCAATCGGCCCAGCGTCACGAGAATCTTACCGTTATTGCTGACGTTATTGTCGTCGGGTATGAAACAGAGGGCGGCTAAAATCTGTCACGGCGATTACCGGCGACGCTCGACGAACCGAAAACGCTCACCTGCAAGGCGGGTATCATCACGGACGGTTTGCGATAGTCGATGCAGCTGGCGATGATAAAGTGACCGGAATCGTGACGGAAGAACTCCTTCAGTCCTTCGGTGTTATTGTTGTACTTTAAAATGCACTTGAGACATTCCAACTGAATTTTTTCGTATTTGTCATCCCTATTGCTAATTAGAAACTATAAATACTAATCGACGCATTCCGAAAAACAAAACGCAAGCAACAAACAACTGAGTAAAGGTTCAAGCAGTACATCGATGGTGTGGAAAGTGAAGCACAATCAACAGTTTTCAAGTAAAAATACGCTATAAGTATATTGGTCCTTTGAGCCGAATCAGAAAAGACACAATGATTTCATTTCTCATTTACATCAGAAGTGAGATGTGCCCTATCTTCCTTGAAATCTCTTTGAATTTAAAAATCTACAATGCAGCTAACAATTATCCCACTTCAAAATAGCATGGGACAATCCCATTTTCCCATTCCTATTTTTTTCAAAAATGAAAACAAAAGATCAGAGGAGATTAATCACATTTCAAAAATGCAGGAGACAATAATCCCATTTTTAAAAAACAAAAGAGCAGGAGATAACAATCCCACTTCAAAAAAAATCCAAAAAGTCCAGGAACAATAATCCCATTTAAAAAAAACCAAAAGAGCAGGGGCAATGATCCCATCTTAAAAACACAAAAGATCCCATTTTTTAAAAAAGTGTAGGGGTCAAAAATTCCATTTTTTTTTAAAAAACACAAAAGAGCAAGGGATATAAATCTCATTTCCCATTTTCCCCGTTCCCATTTTTATTAAACAAAAAGGGCAGGGATAACAATCCCATTCAAAAAACAAAAGAGCAGGACATAACAATCCCGTTTCAAAAACAAATCCAAGAGCAGGGAACAAAATCAAAAGAGCAAATATCCCAATCCATTTCCCATTTTCCCCCGCATTTTTTTTTAACCAAAAGAGCAGGCGATAACAATCCCATTTTCAAAAAAATCCAAAAGGACAAGAGACAATAATCCTATTTCAAAAAAAAAAACAAAAGGGCAGGGAACAATAATAATAATAGTAATAATAATTTTTACCTAATAAATAATAAAATTTATATAAAAATAATACAAGAACAAACACTAATGTAAGTTATGGTTGGTTTATTACCCCCATAATTTGTAATATTAATGTTAATGTAATTGTGGAATAATAATGGTAATAATAATGTCAGTTACTGGGGTTATCACTAAACATTTCCTGCAGCATCTGAAAAATCTCAACATACAAAAGGCAGTCCTGGTAAAAACAGCTTCCATAACCAGGAAACTTTTACAACAATAAATATACTTACCTTTGACTTGGTAATGACTCGTCTCTTTAAGCGAGAAAAAAATTAAATAATAATATTATAAAAACAATAATCAATGAACACATATTTGGCACTAAAACACACGCAATAACTGAGTATATAAATAGATATAAACAATTATAAATAGACTATAAATATGCACAAATAAGTATCTCTGCTTTGCAATGATCGTATTTAAATAAAAACGCCAAAAAAGTAGGGGGCAAGATCCCATTTTTAAAAAAACACAAGAGTAGGGGACACTGATCCCATTTTTTTCCAAAAAAAAAGCAAGGGACAATAAACCATTTTCAAAAAATCAAAAAAGCAGGGGACAATGATCGTATTTAAATAAAAACGCCAAAAGAGTAGGGGGCAAGATCCCATTTAAAAAAACACACAAGAGTGGGGGACACTGATCCCATTTTTTTCCAAAAAAAAGCAAGGGACAATAAACCATTTTCAAAAAATCAAAAGAGCAGGGGACAATGATCGCATTTAAATAAAAACGCCAAAAGAGTAGGGGGCAAGATCCCATTTTTAAAAAAACACAAGAGGAGGGAACTATGATCCCATTTTTTTAATCAAAAAATCAGGAGAAAATTTAAAAAAAACGAGAGCAGAGGATAATGATTCCATTTAAAAAAAATCCAAAAGACCAGGGGACGATGATCCCATTTCTCATTTACATTAGAAGTGGGATGTACCAAATCTTCCTTGAACTTAAAAAAAAATTCTTTCAACTTAAAACACTTTTTTTTAATTTTTCAAGAGTGAAAATGCTTCAAAAATAAAATAAAAAAGAGTAAGGAACAAAAATTCACATTCACATTTTTCCATTTTTTTTTAATTCAAAAATCAGGGGACAATCATCCCATTTAAAAAAATCCAAAAAAGCAGGGGACAATGATCCCATTTCTCATTTACATCAGAAGTGGGATGTACCAAATCTTCCTTGAACTTATTTAACTTAATTTAACTTAAATTCTTTCAACTTAAAACACTTTTTTTTAATTTTTCAAGAATGAAAATGATTCAAAAATAAAATAAAAAAGAGTAAGGAACAAAAAATCCATTCCCCATTCGCATTTTGAGAAACCAATTTAAGGAACAAAAATTCACATTCACATTTTTCCATTTTTTTTAATTCAAAAATCAGGGGACAATTTTTTTGATCCCAATTTTCAAAAATCAGGGGACAATCATCCCATTTAAAAAAATCCAAAAAAGCAGGGGACAATGATCCCATTTCTCATTTACATCAGAAGTGGGATGTACCAAATCTTCCTTGAACTTAAAATTAACTTATTTAACTTAATTTAACTTAAATTCTTTCAACTTAAAACACTTTTTTTTAATTTTTCAAGAATGAAAATGATTCAAAAATAAAATAAAAAAGAGTAAGGAACAAAAAATCCATTCCCCATTCGCATTTTGTAAAGAAACCAATTTCAAAAAACCACAAAAGCGGAGGACAATGATCACATTTAAATAAAAACACCAAAAGAGCAGGGTGACAAGATCCTATTTCAAAAAAACTGGAAAAGCAAGAGCAATGCCATTTAAAAAACACATTTTTCCATTTTTTTTAAATTCAAAAATCAGGGGACAATCATCCCATTTAAAAAAATCCAAAAGAGCAGGGACAATGATCCCATTTCTCATTTACATCAGAAGTGGGATGTACCAAATCTTCCTTGAACTTAACAAACAATTCTTTCAACTTAAAAACTTTTTGTTTAATTTTTCAAGAGTGAAAATGCTTCAAAAATAAAATAAAAAAGAGTAAGGAACCAAAATTCCATTTCTCATTCGCATTTTGCAAAGAAACCAAATCCAAAAAACCACAAGAGCGGAGGACAATGATCACATTTAAATAAAAACACCAAAAGAGCAGGTTGGCAAGATCCTATTTCAAAAAAACTGAAAAAGCAAGAGCTATGCCATTTAAAAAACACATTTTTCCATTTTTTTTTAAATTCAAAAATCAGGGGACAATCATCCCATTTAAAAAATCCAAAAGAGCAGGGGACAATGATCCCATTTCTCAGTTACATCAGAAGTGGGATGTACCCAATCTTCCTTTGAATTCAAAAACTATTTTTTTAAATTTTTATAATTCAAAAAACAAATGAGCAAGGGACAATAATTCCACTTCCCATTTCCATTAGTTAAAAAAAAACCAAAAGAGCAGGGGATAATTATCCCAAACAGACAGCGAACTTTATATTTTTCACATCACATGCAACTACCATTCCTCTTGCTCCAAAATTTCACTTTTTGAGATTTTTATTTGACCACCGGGTACATTTAATCAGTCATCTGTTATGCATCGCCCGAAACTTGTCTACTTACAATTTAACAGCCAACTCTAACGTACTGAAGACCGTTTGGAGACCCCTACTGCCGAACTCGTGCACCCAACTGAGCGTGTTGTTCGTCAACGCTATCCTCAGCGACTCGACGCAATTGAAAATCTTCGAAGGATTCAGCGTGTCCGGCTTCGAGTAGTTCTCCAAGTACGCGATGTACTGCTGCGGCGTATCGAACTTGCTCTCCTTAAACTGATTGGCTCCCTTGTACTGCATTATCAGCATCTTCTTCTTGTTATCCTGGGGGTAGTTGCGGAGCGGCTGTTTCTTGTCCTCGTTCAGGTTCATGTCGTTCTGAAACGAGAGCCCGTTAATCGATGCGGTAACCGGCGCAGGGGGGGTTTTACGAGTAGCTCCTCGAATTTCTTGTCGATCTCCTTCTCGTCCATTGAGTTAATTTGCTGTTCGTAGAGTTTGAGTATGTTCTCGTCCGGCTCGCCGAAGTCGGTTTCGGATGTGGGCCGCGATGTTGATAGGGTTCCCGGTCGTACAACCGGGGCACCCTTTTTGGATCCCCTTTGGAACCATGACTCCAGCTGGCGAACGAAAATTAAACGTCGAAATTAATTATTTATACCTACATAAGAATACATGGCGCATCGAGTGAAAATGTTAAAAATATTAATCACACGAGTGGATATATTGATGATGTCATAACAACATTGTGATGCTCGAATTGCTAATGAAGGCTAACAGTTACTACTGAAGAAGTAGGGGGATAGACAGTGTTTATGTAAGCAATTAGCTAGAGGCTTTGACATCATTATGTAAATGAAAACAGATTAAATCATAGAAATGACCTACAAATAAAAGGAGAAGTTTAAGGTTAAATGTCGAGGAGGTAGGAGAACGACACCGAAACTTACACCTCCTGTCAGAGTTGGCAGTCGGTTCGTTCTTCGTTTGAGTTTCCGCTCCATTTTCGCACTCTAAATTAATATAAGTTAGGCATGTACAATGTTTCTTATCGTACATTGATAAAAGGTAAAAGATAAGAGCCGAGTATCTTAGCAAACTAATTAGCTACTTACAAAACTGCCCGATTTGGTTTTATCCTGTCGTGACATCGTCGCTCGTACATCGGATTTATCGAAATATTCACTGGGGGGACCTGGAAGAAGAGCCTCGATGGCATAACCTCACTTTTTACACCCAATTCCAACAGGTGGAATTGAAGGGCGGTAATTCGTTTAAATTGCCGCAACTCGCTTACCGGTTCGTTATCACAGCCATTTGCAATTAATTCTATAAATGGTAAAGTTAAATTATCAAAATATACATTTTTTTAAGTAACGGATTTGGTCGATTGTTGGCGTTATAGTCGTACAAACATTTCTTCGATCAAACTGAGTTACAAGTTGAGGTTAGTAATTCTTTGGCCGATTGTTATCGTTAGCCACAGGTTGAACATTGTGTACAGGGTGAGTAGAAAGCAAATTCAACAAATTTAGGGATCTCTTTTTTGTCGGATACCTCACATAGACATATGCCTCATCGAAACCGAATGCGAGTAGGGCCCTACCAGGTTCCTCGTTACGGAAGAACCTCTTCAATTAAGAGGAAGGTTCTCTCCAGCCATGTCCAAGACTGCCTAGTCCTTGATTTTGGCCTTCACCCTTCTAACGGTTCAAGGACTGCACTCAGTGCGGCTATGACGCATTTTGACTGAGGCTTAGGCCACCCCTGAGATCCGCCGCAGCGACTTACCTATATGTTCACCGATGGAGCATCCGTAATCTTGACCTTTTAATTAGACTTCTTTCCAGGCTACACTAAGCTTTGACCTTTGACATCGGGAGCCCCCTTGAGTCATACGTCACGACACCACCCAACCTGGTCCGAGGTCTTACCCTCGAGAAGGCACTTAATGGCCATCGCTTTCTGTGCGCCAGTCTCATTCTTCTTGCGAAGACGGGGTGGCCCACCACTAGGCTCTTGAATGATAGCCGCCCTTCGTCGGAGCTTCTTGAGAGCCCGATTTATTGCTCTCACTATAATAAGACCCCAGAAAAATGGTTTGTTGAAATTGGCCCATATGTAATTCCCACGAGTATAAGTACCTACCAGGGTCCTCCCTGCGGAAGAACGTCCTGCATGGGCTCGTCCTGAAACCAGGATTTTGCCTCTGGAGGTGCTTTAAGATTGTGTGGCCGTGTCATCCGCCACTACGAGAGATTTTGTAATTTAGTTACGCCACTGGTCGCCATACATCTGTTGAAAGATTAATTTCCAATCAAACCTGAAACCCCCAACGTGGGACTCAAGCCTCCACAATCACGACAAGGAATAATAAGCACCGAAGGGACTAAGGAGATAGCACCACGTAGAAATTTGAAAACCCCGCGAGTACTTTTGGTGATTTTTTTAAGTTACTAAAGCAGTGTTACCAACATGTAGTAAAAAATAAAACTTCTTTTTGGTGACTGCTGAAAGTAAGTTGACGATTATTTATTATTAATCTTAAATCATCGCGTCTTTTTAAACAATCAAATTATAACCAATCGCGTTTTTTAATTACAGTTTTTCCATTTTAGCGTTTAGTGCAATACATTTAAGGAAATTTACGGTAATTTTTCCATTTTCTTGCAATTAACGTCATGTGTTACGAATGATGAACCACATCTTGGGACACCGCAGAATGCACCGTGTTCGATTAGACCTACTGAGCCCCCCTTTACCGCATAGCGAACCCGCCCTATTTTCACCGCAGCGCACTAATTACTCTTCGTTTTAGATGGCCGACAAGGCGGCAGCCGTTAAACCGAAGACTGGCGCAAAGCCGTCCGAAGATGCGAAGAAGAAGAGCAAGAAACCCCGCAATTACGACTTAGGTAACGGGATCTACAGGTTCTCGAAGACGCGCATGTACCACAAGAAGGCGAAGTACTTGTTCAAAGGCAAGAAGACGACGCACCCGAAGAAACCGCGCAAGCCCCTCACCATCGAGAAGACAATCGGTGGCGAGAAGAACGGCGGTAAACGTATAGTTTTGTTACGTAAACGTCGGAATTACTACGCGACGCAAGATAAGGTGAAGAAGCCCCACGCGAAGAAGTTGTTCAAGAACCACCCGAGGTACATTCGAAGCACGTTGACCCCCGGAACTGTTCTGATTCTTCTAGCCGGCGTGCACAAGGGAAAGCGTGTCGTGCTTCTCAAGCACTTGGCCAGCGGACTGTTGCTGGTAACCGGGCCGTTTGTCGTTAACGGGTGCCCCATGCGTCGCGTACATCAGAGTTACGTTATCGCGACCGAAACCAAGCTGGATGTCAGCGGGGTTAAGAGTTGCGAGCAGATTGACGACCAGTACTTCCGTCGCGAACGTAAGAAACGCGCCAAGAAGGAGGAGGGTGATATTTTCTCCACGAAAAAGGAGGTACGTACGTTTTCGCGAAGCCCTATGTGACAGTTCTCTTTAGGTTATGTTCAAAATTTGTTGCTTTGAATGATTAGTATACAGGGTGTTGCATCTGAAATGATCCCCCATTGAGCTTTCCTTCCATTCAGAACTGTCAAATTGGACTTTCCTCGAACTTGTCTTAAACCGTTTGTTTTAGACCTACAAAGTGAACGATCAAAAGAAAGTGGACCAGAAGGCGTGTGACAAAGAGCTGATCCAGGTCATTAGGAAACACAAAGACGGCAAATTGCTATTCACCTACCTCTCCACCATGTTTGGACTACGCTCGTCGCAGTACCCTCACAGAATGAGGTTTTAGCCGCTATTGATTTATTTGTATAAGTTTGATCAATAAATTCGTCGAGATCCCTTTTTGTTTTTCTCTCCTCCTCCTTTTTTTTTGACAGTTCCGCCGAAATGGACGCCAAATCGAAAGTTGCAGTTCACGATTTTGATTATGGCCTGAAAAAGGTCATCTCGGACGAGGGATCCGAGATCACGATGCGACAATTTTTGGATTTTCTCAAAATCGCGTATCAGGTAGTTCGCGTCGTGCGACTAACGTCGAATGCCCATGTTTCAGGTGACCGATAGCATCGAGGGGGTCGAGTTGGGGGACCGTATGATGCAGTTCATCGACTGGGTCAAGCTGAAGGAGTCCGAGCTGGTGAAACCGCGCGAAATTGCCTGTCAGACTATCGAACTTAAAGGTCTGAATTGTATTACGAGTTGTCACGCTGAATGTGTTCTTTTAGACCCGAAACGAAGATCCGAATGTTTGCTGTTGCCCTCCAATTCCATAGAGTCGGTTAAATCGAAACTCGGCGAGGTGCTCGCGGAGGGCTTGTTCGATTCGGTCCTAAATCACATGATTCCTTCAAATCCGCCTTCGGTCGTCACGCTTCGTAGGCCCTCACAGCCGAAGCTCGAGAAAAATGGGAGCTCCAGTAGCTCGCTCATGATGCCAAATGAGCGTGCCCTTCTCAGACGGTGCAGCGATAACTTCGCAAAAAATCAAATCGTGAGGACGCAGTAAGTACATACTCGCATTTGATGCTCTGTGAAGAAAATGTAAAATTGGGTAATAGTTCAGGTCAGTATGGCGCTAAACGTCAAAAGGGTTTCGGTGGGAACAAAATTCAAAGCAACCAATCGCAATGCGACAAAAAATGACGTAACTGTTACCAGTGGCGGGTCTTCGGGGCGGAAAAGCTGGAATCGATTTTTTTAAAGTAAAGTTTGCTGTAAGGTAGTCGTAGTGACCATGGGATTAAGGTGTTTGTATTCAAATAAATTGTTACCACGAAAGCGTTGAGGTCCAAGGTGCAAAACATTGAAATACACATTCAAAGGAAAGGAACTAACTTTGTGTTTATTTCGTAAATAATGCCCATGTTCCCTTAATTGAAATAATCACGTATACAGGATTTGCATAATCTCTTTTTTCTGAATTGCTCTTTTATTCCTTTCCCAATAGCTCAGATGTTACCATTCACGTATGCGACGAAGTGAAGAACACAAAGAGAGACTTTATATGTAATCAGCACTTGCTCGTCGAAAAAATGGGATACTTTGCGGAAGTGACATCAGGTAAAGCTCTCTTTGAACCGTATACTTCACCTCATGATCTTATAGGCCAACGCCTGGAAGATATGGACATATCAGTGCACTGCGACATCGGCATATTTGAGTGGCTGATGCTTTGGGTGAAGAAGACCGAGGCGGAGGGTGACGGGCCGGAACTTGATCCGCAGTGCGTCATACCGATTTTGGTGTCGGCCGCGTTCTTGCAAATGGAGCCGCTCATCGAGGAGTGTCTACTGTTCTGTCACGAGCACATGAACGACATACTTCGCACCTCCACGAATCTGTCGTGCCTGAACGACTCGGTGATGACCAGGCTGGCCGCGATGTATACAAACGTTGAGGTGGAGGCGATACGCGACCGCAAGGATAAGATCCAGTCGCGTCTGTACTGCAAACTGATCCAGTCACTGTGCGAGCCGGAGGCCGAGAGTATGAGGGGCCATTGGAACTCGCTGGCGCGCGTGTATCGATGCGAGCGCTGCCAGAAGCTGGTGAGTCCGTCGACGAGCGAGGAAATCCCCTGCGTACCCGCGTGCATGAGCATCATGTGCGACGGCACAATCGTCTACAAGCACCAACGGGACAAGCTCTGGGATATTAACGATCACATCGAGGAGCTGTACAAGACCTTGAAAACTTGGCGAAAAATTTACTGGCACGTGTGGGGGGACGCGCACTTCTTGTACTGCTCCGTCTGCAAGCGCTTCTTCCAGTGTCACCAGATTGGATGGTGCCGTTTCCATCCGGACTCGCCGCAGTTTTTTACCGTCGACGCTCAGCGGGCGTCTCTGCCGGTCGGCCGGTACCCCTGCTGCGGCGAACGCGCCTATCGCTTCGAGTTGGTCGAGCGCGAAACGGTAGGCCACGCTTAGTGTGTGACAGGGTGTAAATCATCACTTGCAGGGGTGTCAGTTTCGGGAGCACTGCCCGCTTACGGACACCGTACGCGATAGCGCCGTTCTCGGCATACTGGAAAACTACCGGTCGTTAATCGAAGAGGAGCCTGCCAAGCTGATTTTTCCGGAACGTTTGACTCGGTTTGTAAGCAAAGGTAGATGTCTGGCTCAATGTAACTTTCTGATTTGCTGCGGTTGATAATAATTTGCTGTAGGAAATGCAAGTGGAGATCCAGATGTAAGCGACGGCGCTTCCGAGAGCGAGCACTTTTGGTGGGATGGAATAGTGCTGATACCTCCGCGTCCGAAGCTGGGGCTGTTGGGGTATTTAAGCGACTCAAGGCCAACGGCGGATATGGTGGGATCGTTTCCCGTCGACGTCGGCGACTGCGACCTATCCGATTGCAGTGAGTCGAGCGGCACCAGCAGCAGATCGACGAGCACCACGAGCTCGGATAGTTCGAGCAGCCCCCAGAAGAGCGACGAAAGCTCACATAGCACCGACTCGAAAGGTAAACGTAACGCAACGAGCAGAAAGCGCGAAAAGCACCTGTGGCAGTACAATTTGTCCGCGAGGAGCAACCAGGATTTGCAACGGTCTTACGAGGAGACCACCCTGAAGCAAATGCAAGCCGTGCTGACGCGTCGCACTTTTATGTCAATGGAGGTAATGCCCAAATCGAACCACAGGTCTTGGCCACGCCACATCACGCCCCCAGGTGTGGCTAACATGTAATTATCTCACACAGAATTCAACGATCTTTTTCCTTAGGAGGCGTCTGGGTGAGACTGGAGAGTGAATGGCGGGAGCGAAACGCCGTATCGCAACAGCAACAGCAGAAGTTGCGCACTACGTTTATCACAAAAAATAAAATCAAAGGCGCTCGATTTAATCCGGCTTAATTTGTGAAATAAACCTTTTTAAAACAATACTACTTATTGATGTTTCCCGAAAGTGGCACTGACTCCTTCATTTTACTGTTTCCGCTGCGATGTATTATAGAAAAAAAGGCGTAACCTTGGGTTCGATCCAACGCCATCGAATCTGTCAGAAGTAGCCCTAGATTGTTGCGCAAATTTACGTAATTTAACCTGTTTCTATCGAGCGCTTGTGGCGTGGTGTTTTTCTCTGACCCTGAGAGTCGATTTTTCTTACACCAATTATTGAATAAATTTGTGTTTTGTGTAAGAGAACAATTTAATATTAGTTTGAGCCCAATAAGTTAAGACCCAGGGTGTTATGAGTTTCATTGGACAGGCGTGTTACTGCTTTTAGTGACCGTTTGTCCTTGCACAGGGCAGCATTAATTTTTGGCGGCCAACGTGGGGCACACGGCATTAATTTTTGGCGCCCGAAAGTTTCAAAACACCGCGGAAGGGCTCCTAGACAGGTGGTGCATTCAATATCACGAATAGACAGAGAGCGGATCTTGATGGTCTCACTCTTGGAAAACGTCAACTGGGCTTGACCAAGCCAGTGAACTATTTGGAAGTCATCATTGACTCCCACCTGCCCTGGAAAGGGCACTTTGAGCGAATAAGTTAAAGGGCCACTACATGTCTACGGACATTTAGAATATATTTTTAAGTATTTATTTTTTACTTATTTAAAATTTATACGTAATTATATAATTTGTAATTTATAATTTTGACGTTGCAATGCTTGTATATACAAGTCTCATGGAATAATAAACGGTATTATTATTATTACTAATAACTGTTTCCTATAGTATTCTCGCTGTGAGAGTTGAAAAACGTCCGTGGTGTACGCCCCGTTTCCTGATTCCCCCTAAAACTTTGTTTGTAAAAAAGTGGACACATGTGCCACCTTACATCCTCGTGTTCTCATTAGTGCCACAACTATACAATAGTCTCGGTAACTCGCCCATTGAACGCCAATTTATGGTAGAGCTCTCTTGCCACACGTGGTTGGTGGAAAAAACAATAATTCCAACTTTTAACCCAAGCTCAGTTCGAATTTACTATCTGCAGGTGCCCCTTTTCATTTTGACTGTGGTGCTAAAGGTCCCTGGTTCGGGCACAATAAGGATACTATATAATATATTATATATAATATAAATATATTATATTATATAGTAGGTATCCTTGGTTCGGGCATGGATATTTGTAAATGTATAGTGGGTTGGGTTGGTAGAGCAACCTTGGCTGAAGCCCCGCCCACTCAAAAATAAAATTGTAACCAGAGAACTTAAAACCTCTAATAAATAGCTATTATTAAATGAAACTGAAACTTTATTCTTTATTATAATACAGAACTAATTAAAATAAGCATTAACTCTAAGTTTGTGAATTCGAAACAATAATGGTTAATATAAACAAACGATACGAAACTACCTACATACTTAAAAACGAAAATGAAAGCAAATAAATCGTAATTTAACATTTAATTAATCGTACTCAATCATTATGACCGGCAGCTTGTCGTAACAGAATATAAATTTTTTCCTTTATCCAATCTTTGTTGTAGGGGGCGTAGGTGTTTGTCGACTTCTGGTAAACTAGGCAGCTCAAGTCGGAGAGCTAAAAGTCCTGTAGTTAGAGCAAACGAAGCTCGGTCGGTTAGTGGCTTACCTGGTCGACGAAATCGAAAAGTTGCGAGATATCGTAGGTGATCGTGGGTGTGTTGGGATTGCGCCGCTTGAGATGCTCCTCGTATATTTTGCACACGCCTTCCATACATTCGTTGACCGATTCGTAATCCGAGTAGGTTCTTGTTTCGGGATTGGTGCCAGGTTGGACTAGCAGTATGGTGTGGGCCTTAAAGAAGAGGATTTTAATGAACCCTGAAGCATTTTAGTTTGTATTTACCATTCTTGAAGCTTAATACTGTAAGGACGCCTTTAACGGATAACAAAAATTGAGGTTAGGTGAGGTGACAGTGTTGCCAATACGAAACTCGCCGGTTGTTTTTTGGATAATTTTACAGTAGCTGTTCGTTGATTAGGGGGCATGGAAAATAAACGCATCCCTACGTGCATATTAATGAATGACGAACTAAAAAACCGTTTTTGTTATTAATAGAACAAGCTACACGTTGCGGTTTCTTGGATGTGCTTTTTTGTTGTCAATTTTGCTCAATAGAAGGGAGCGTTACTGATTTGATAGATTAACGTGGCGATCATAGCACACACGCAAGGAAAGGGAAGAGAGCTGTCGTTAATGGTCGCTGGAAGACATAAGAAAAATGTTTTGGTGGTTTAAAAAGTGGACCAGAAAAATCTAAGTTGATGCGAATTGAACGCATCAATACGGGAGAATACAATGCGAACATTAAAGAATGACCGTTATCCGTTTTATAAACTGGCGATATCTCAAGAAACAAGACAGCAATACACGCGTTGGGGGTTTGACCTAGAAGAAATCAAATGCCAGACACTTTTTATAATGGCGTAATAGAAATTGTCATCGTCACAAGTTATGAAGTTACAAAACTAGTTAAGGGAAAAGAACTTTTCGAGAGTTTTTGTTAAACGAAGTTGTACTGATCTTCACTCATCCCAGGTACGTATTTTAAGGTAAAGTGGCAACGTTGAAACCCCAGAAACAAAAACGGTTCCCGTTTAAATTTAAAACAAAAGAATGGCGCATGATCGAATCGCCTAAGGTATTATTGTACCATGCGTTACAATTAGACCTCTCAATCGAAAGTTATAGACTAGAAACCAATTTCGAAAAAAAATTCAAAGTGCTGTAACTTTTGATCTAGTGGTCCAATCTTGGAACTGATTGAAATTATGGTTTCTACAGGCCAAATTCTATCAGAAAAACTTTTTTTCCGGGTCGATCTGAGACAATTTTTTTTCGGGCCTCAAAAAAAGGCAGTGTATACCTTCCTTTTTTACCAAAAATCGACTGCACCAAAATTTCTCGGGAAAACACTTTTTCTTATTAATTTTGGTGCGTAGAATCCAAAACAATTCGTACTTTTTCGATCAGACTTCTCAATCAAAAGTTATAGACTAGAAACCAATTTCGAAAAAAAATTCAAAGGGCTGTAACTTTTGAACTAGTAGCCCAATCTTGGAACTGTTTGAAATTATGGATTCTACAGGCCACATTCTATAAGAAAATTTTTTTTCCGGGTCGATCTGAGACAATTTTTTTTTCGGGCCTCAAAAAAAGGCAGTGTTATACCTTCCTTTTTTACCAAAAATCGACTGCACCAAAATTTCTCGGGAAAACACTTTTTCTTATTAATTTTGGTGCGTAGAATCCAAAACAATTCGTACTTTTTCGATCAGACTTCTCAATCAAAAGTTATAGACTAGAAACCAATTTCGAAAGAAAATTCAAAGGGTTGTAACTTTTGAAATAGTAGCCCAATCTGTTTGAAATTATGGATTCTACAGGCCCCATTCTATAAGACATTTTTTTTCCGAGTCGATCTGAGACAATTTTTTTTCGGGATATAAGATATAAGTATTGTTTTCTTCTTCTTGAAAGTTCTGCAGTCACATAAACCAAACTCCCCGGATATTTGAAAGGGGTGAGGGAGGGGAGAGTATTTTAAAATACTGTAGAATCAAGTAAACCTTGAGAGAAAAGCGCACCAAACTTATAGTCCTTTTATAGATTTTATCACAATTATTTATATTTTAGGGAATCTAAATGTTTCTATTCACATTTGCATACATTTAAGCTCAAAATTTACCCAAGTGAAAATTTTAATTGCGCTTTAATTTACAACTGTTGTAGGTTAATAAAATATTAGTTTAAATTTAATATGCAAAACTAGGCCGTTTCCGTCAATTTTTTTATGTATCTCCGAATTCATGCATACGGCGGTGCTAGTGCACTGTATTATAATGAGTAGAAAATAAACACTGGTATTCGATGCATAAGATTCCAACTTAAAAGCAGCATTTCTAGGACTTAATTAGCGGAAAGCTGGACCTCGTTGAAAAAAAACGTAATCTGAGCCGACGCCTGGTGGTCAGACTTTGAAAAACAACAAAAATGCGTAATTGTGGTACGTTTCTTAGTTCTCTTCGGTTATTCCCTTGTTTGATTTTATTTAGGGGATCCACATTCCCGTTAAGTGCTCATAAAAGTGTATTAACCTTTCCTCGTTTCAAAAATTATAAAATTTTTTTTATTAAAGTTTCATAACGCCTCGTTTATTGTGAGTGGTGTAGTTATAGTCGGTACATCGAATATTTTTGTTTCCCACTTTGATTTTGTTTACCTGAACAGGACCCACAAGTTCCCTTTTAAGTGCTCAGAAAAGTATAGCTTCTATTTTTTTAATATAATTTTTTAGGGAAACTCACTGATACATAACGATTCGTCTATAATTGGTGTAATTTTTTTAGTACGTACATCGAATATTTTTATTTGGTTTGTATGAATTTGAACAGGATCCGCAAGCCTCTCCCTGTGTCAAAAATTAAGAATTTGTTATAAAGACTTACTTTTACCAACGAGTATAAACGATTCTTCTCTTGCGCTGTAATTTTAGTAGTTCATAATCTTTGTTGTTTTGCAATGTAGATAAGGGTGAATTTTAAATTTTAATACATCTTCCAAACGTAAAAAGAATTTATTTTTAGGTGGCATGGCAGTTGTAGAGTTGCTTGTAGATCCTTTAAACATAATCTATAAAGGAAGTAAAAATAGTTGATGTATCATAAAATTGTATTCTAGTTAAAGAATTACGAAATTTTAAAACGGGAAGAGATTTTATTTTTAAGTGGCAGTCGGAGGGTTGCTTGTAGTTCCTTTAGACATAATCTATTAAGGAAGTAAAAATATTTAATGTGCCATAAGGATTACAGGATTTGAAATTATACCTTCATTAAAATCACTAGGTTTTTGTTTAAAACTGTACAAATAAATTATCATAATATGTTTCTCTACTATTAAGTTACTTAATAAAATGTATGAAGTAAACAGAGGCGAACTAGCAGCATTCGCCGCTCTAGGCTTGTTAAGTGACATACACCCCTTCCTTCAACGTTCTAGAGATGAAGTGTACTTAATCTTCTGGTTAGAGGTTTTTAAATATTTTTGTACATTTTTAGTAGCAGTCAGCCAAAGGTGTCAAAGTAATATTAGATCGTTGAAATAAGCATCCTTATGGGTTGCTGATTTTATACGAAAATTGAAAATGATTCATTTATTATCAATTAACCAAAAAATTAAACTACATCCATTTTTCAGAATTTCTAAAGTAGCTATTTAACGCTCTACGTTATTCTCTTTCTATTATATCGCTTTTGAATCATTTCTAGTAGGTAGTTTTCTTAATTACTTTTGCACTCAAAGGCCCTGTTACCGCTCCTGTTGCGACATATACACTAATATACTTTATTTGCAACTGAAATAAGACACAAATTAGACCTTGCAATTTGGTTAAATAGGTAATGTGGGTAATACAGAACTGTATCACAACACAAAAAATAGCATATCTAACTTAACAAATGAGGCTAAAAAATGTTAATAGGCCTATTAATATTAATATCATTTCAAAGATGAATATCCGGGCGTTTGTAAAATTCCACAAAGAAGTGTTACATAAAAACTTAATTTGATCTTACAACGCAAGAATGCAAAATACGCTTGAATGCCAATAATATTCTACCCATTATTTTCATAAAACGCTGCACGATTTGAATGGAAGACATATTTCAACATGTCAACAAACCGCATAATGCATTACAGAAATTTACATCATGTCGAACGTTAATCGCGATATTTAAGGTAATATTTTCGATAATCGAATCGAGGAATCAAATTTCTGTAATGTAAAAGTGTCATCGGCGCGTCGTTGAAAAGGTGCCGCCTAATACCCGGTGGTGTTTTCTAATCAATGGAATCTCGACACTCACTCAAAATCTTGGGACTATCTTATTTATGGTCTGGTGAGTTCATCTAACATTATAGGGCTTTATCTAACTGTCGGCTATTATTGGGAATGTTAAGTAGCTATTTATAATTGTGGCTAAAGGTAGTGACGGCGGCGCCGATTTGATTCTCACGCTTTTTTGTTAAAAAAAACGTTTCTCTTTTTGCGCCCGTTCATTTTTGAGCCGAATGACATTTTTTAAGACGGTAGCGGAATTTCGGTACATCGTTTTTAACTTATCTGGGTTGCCATTAAGAGCAACCTTGTTTTAAATATAGGTCGTTAGTATGCCAGGTTTTCGATAACGTAACATTGTCCACGATTAACATTATTTTTCTTTAATGAATCAGGTTGTGGACGTTTCCTACTAAAACATCGTGTAGTTCATGGCTGTTTCCCTCTTACAGTAGCTTCGTCTCCGTTCTTTTACTTGGCGGAAATTCGAAACCAGAATCTTAAACTTTTTAGGTAGCAGTCGGACCTCTAATCGCCTTGTTACAGAAAAACACGTATTTTGAATTATATTTTTGTGTTAAACATTGCAATTAAATTATAAACAATTTTTTTGGCATACTTCTCAAAATACTTCTGTAGCTTCTCATATTATAAGTAATGAAGGAAGATGTTTACATTTCTCAAATCTAAAGTGGTAGTGTGAGAACGAGTTGCGACTAAAACTAAAAATTCCAACGCTGCGGATTTAGAAATGTTGCCTTTGAACGATTATTAGCACGGTGGGCGATCTGTTCAATTCGGTCTTCGTATAAATTATAAACTTTTTATACTTACCTACATAAAGAATCGTAATGTTTTCTTTTGACAAGAAGGCTTTTCCACTAAAATGTGCGTGTGGAAAATGCAAAATTAATGAGCGTTTTGTGGATTTTGGGGCATGCTTTATTCCTGTGACAAATAAGAACACCACAAAAATTCCAAAATTTCAATTAGAAGACGCAACGGCACTTCGAGGCAAAAGCTCTACTGAGCTAAATTCCGTAATCGTCAATCGATGTGGTACCTATCAAATGAAAACCTCTTGATTGGAGTAAAATTTGACCATATTATAAAAACAAAAATTACCCCATGGAGTCTTCTCAAATTTTTTC